ATGTGGTTTGGTTGATGGAATGTTTGAGAAGTTTGTTAGAAAGCTTGGATTTTATTTGGGTTTAATTTAAAGTTCTAGAGTTTGTGATATCGATCATTTAGGACGAAGTTATTTAACTGATTTGTGTAAGTAAACTGTGACAGATATGTGCTTCCTTTTCTAGTTCGTTTGTTGAACCCTTTGATTGGTTGGATTTAATGTGGATGTTTTGATAATGTGAACAGTGGCCCACCTCGCTTTGATGGAGGAGAACGCAGATTTGGTGACAGGGATGGGTACCGTTCTGGTCCTCGTGCACCAGGGGGTGATTTTGGTGACAAGGGTGGAGCACCTGCTGACTACAGACCTTCTTTCGGGGTAATATTTCTGTTGTCAAGTAGTTTTTTTTTTATTTCTCATTTAGGTACTATGTCTTTTTACCATTTATTGGGTTGGAGATCAATTGCCTTTCGATGATATTCTATTCTTCTTTGCATTTTGCAATTGTATTCTATCTGATCCCATGTACCTTGTTACTGAGGACTTGACAAACTTATATATACCGCCCACTTAAATGTGTTGTATGATTAGAAGCTTTCCTCACTTTGGAAAAATGATGCATTTGTTAACTTGTTATGCTTCTTTCTCCTGAAATATCAGGGTAGTAGGCCTGGCTTTGGTCGTGGTGCCGGTGGATCTGGTGGAGCTGGTGGTTTTGGTGCTGGCCCAGCAAGCTCTGATCTCTCCTAAGGAAATGGTTTACCTAGACACCGTTTGGTTTCCTAAGTTTGCATTTAAGAGCGGATGACATTCTGTATTATGAGACAATAGCAGTTTTGTTTGCCCAGCAGTCTTGGGATTGTATTAGATATTTGTTTTTATTCTATATGGTCTTTTGATCGCACTTTGCAAAATTTATTTTATCTGTCATCTATATATGTCGTTGAGAAATTTTGTAGATGTTTAATAATTATTTTCTTGCGTTTTTTGACCCTCATTTTTGTGCGACCCTCAGTAGCTTGTCATAATTTAGCTTGGCATTTTTGGACCTTATAGCACAAGCATCATGGTTTAGCTTTAATAAGGATAAATACCAATGAGCACTGATGTGCTTAGCACGATGACAGGCGGTGCGGCCTCCTTTATCCTTACTCTTTATATGCACCTATCTTTAGGCCTTTAATGTGTCGACATGTGTAGAAAACAGTCTTAATTTGCAGATGAGTGATGTCAAGTTCGAACATTCATGGCACTTTGGCAATGTATTTGTGAGAAAATGGTCACGCTTCATCCTAACTTTACCCACACAAAAAAGAAGCTTGAGGCTAAAGAGATTCATTTTCCTTAATTTTGTGAAGTAATCAATTGGTGGATATTTTGATAAGGGCGATTTTCAATAGAGCGTTCCACAATTTGGAGGCTTTGGTGGCGGCTATCATGTTCGCCAAGTTGGAGTGTCTCTCGACCTTCATTTCATCAACAAGCCCGAGTTTTTCTTGGATGGACTCAAGCTCCCGAAAAGTTCGACAGTGATGGCAACTTGGTTGTTGCACAAGACAAGGAGAGGTTGAAGGAAATTCTTCTGACTCTGCAGGAATTCACTTTGAGGCTTCAAACAAAGTGATGAGAGGCGCTCTTTCGTGTTTCAAACCGCTGACTTCTAGGGCACAATGGAGGTTGCAGGTTTCAAGGTGCTGAAGTTGTTGTATTGCAAGAGTTTGAGGGGTTTTTTTTGGTCGACGAGATTTATTTGTTTATGCCTTTGGACTGCCTCTACAGTTGGAATTTAGACCTAATTGATTTGTGTTATGTTTCTATGGGCATGCAATGTGCTAATAAAACGTATTCATTGCCCAGGAAAGTCACTATATCTATAATAATTCAAAACAAAAAGTATGCACTATAAGATTTGCAAATGTTAGCGTTACATCCATGATTGCAGCATCAGCTTCAACTCGGAAATCATGCATGGTTGCCTACACAAGTTGTTTTGTCCTCCAGACATGGGGGAATTTCTCAAGTCTGCAAGTACACATCTCAAGTCTCATGAAATAGAACTTTGCAGCTAAAGGAATGATTTGTGGGACAAAAAGAGAAAATCGTTTGCACATAAGATATTATAAATACAATATATATATATATATATATGCCAATTACCATAAGAATACCTCAATCATGTTGGAAGACACTACTCCTGGAAATTAGGAATTAGGCTCGAAAAACAGGTCCACTGATTCTTAGTTGATACTTACCCTCTAGATATGTAATATGCCTTAACTTATAGTCCTATTTCTGTATCTTTGTAAATTGTGCATGTACAAAATTTATTCCTTTTTTTAAATGAGAAACACAACTTTCAGTAAAAAAATAATAGAACAATAGCAAACAAAGTATCCACCGTTAGCAAGCCAAAACAAAGTCAGTCCATACCGGTGGCAAACAAAGTATTCATCGTTGGTGCGCGATTTGTAAATTCCTACGTAAATCCATACTAGTGGCAGCTGGCAGTTGGGTGCCACGCGTAAGTCCTTTTAGCTCGAGGTTGTGGGTATGCCCTGGCACTGGTGGTGAGAGTAGACAATCTCCCCCTAAACTTTTTTTCATCAAAAATAAATAAATAAATAAAAATCCATTACAGAACAACTCAAACACCAAATGAACAAAACAGAAGCATTCCATCAAAAAGATCTAAATTACAGCAGCTTACGTATTTGATAGAGAGTCCAATACAAGGAGCTCGAAAAATGAACCCTCTTCCACAACTGATCCACACTACCTCTCACTTCATATCACCAAACAGCCCAGTAAATTGTCATTACATCATATCTCCAAAAACCATAGCCCACTTCTGTCCTCTAAAAAATGTGCAAAGCATGTCTTAGACTATCATTAGGAAAGAAAAAATATTACATTTCACAAAACAGAGGACAAGTTATCTACTGGATAAGCTAGACCAAAAAATGCTGTACACTCCGTGCCTGTATGTAAGAATGTGCCAATTGAATATTCCAGGTGAACCTTTCCGTTTCTCCACATCGTGACAATTGTTTTTGTAGAAAAACAAAAGGCTATATACCAGTTAAAGCAGTTATTTGAAGTACATACCTTTGTTTGATTTGAGAGTTGAGAGTGAAATATTGAAAAGCAATATCATTTATGTCGAGGCAAGGAATGTGAGATATGTTGGCCCAATCTTGTCCAATCTTTCTTATTCTCACACCTTTTCTCCAGGCCAGAACAGTTGGAGATTCTCAGAAACGAAAGAAATGGCGGGAAACCCTCTTCTGGCAGGAATTGGATACTGTCACACTCACTAATATATATCTCTTCAAGAGAAGTGAGGTGTCCAAGTCCCTTTCCGTCCAAAGATTTCAGACTTGAAAGTCCCCAGATGTGAAGAGAGTGAAGAGTGGGAGCAGCTGTTCCTTGAGCAACGTCTCCAAGAAATCGTCACTTCCCCTGCCACCAATTGAAAAGTGTTGAAGGGAGAAGAGGCCTTGCAAACCCCAGTACTCTCCCACTGAAGCCCCAGTCTGTCAAAATTTTGAATGCAGAAATAAACCGCCTTCTGCAAATGACACTAAATTTGGAAGTTCAGTCATCTCCAGTGCTGTGAGGGTGTGAATGCATTGGGAAAAAGACACCAGTTCTGGACAGTCATTGATAGACAAGGTACTGAGATGACTGAGATTCTCATCAACTCTTTCTTCAATGGAAAGGGATTCTAGATTCTCACTCCCAAATTATAAGAACCGAGAGTTTAGGAAAAAGGCTCAACGGGAACGACCTCATTGAATCACAGCTATTTTGTACACACAAAAACTCGAGCGATGTCAATTTGAGCAACATCTCGTGAGGTGGGAATTCTAATCTCCTACATTAGTATGTCACTTTTGGACACAACGCAATAATGTCATAAGCTTCTGAGAAATTGTCGGTGAACTTCAAATTGTGTGGATGAAACCTTGCAAATAAGCTCATGTAAAGACACCTCGCAAATAAAAAGAGCTCTCATAAGCTTCTAAGAAATTGTCGGTGAACTTCAAATTCGGTGTTTGAGACATACAAGCTAAAAGTGACAGTGATTAGAGGTCCCCAACATTGATACCTGCCCATAAAACAAGACAGAATCAAAGAATGGCATGGCCAACCATTACCCCAAGTGATTAGAGGTCCCCCCAACGTTAAATTGTCGGTAAATGACAACCGTTATTCCAATTGCTAATGGCAAAATTTAAGACCCCTTCAGAAATTAAAGGCAAAGAAAAGATCATGCATAGAGCTTTACCTTCATGTGTTTTCTGATACATTATGTGTTCAGGTTCAGCATCCGATTGTGAAATCCTGTTTCTTCTCACCACTATTCAATATGGATGTTAACCAAAGTGCTTTCTGTTTCCATACCTCAGCTCAGCAAGATACTTCTAAATGCAAAGAAAAAGAAATTAGAAGGTGTTGCAATCATCAGGAAATCTGAAAAGAAAATATTATCGCGATAATTCTTCGAGAAGAAATCATGTGGAATACTTTCAATATATGTACGCATGCATTTACTGAATTCACAAATATGAAAACACCTCTGAAAGTCAAAAGAGCACCAAATAAACAACAATAGAGGAATGTGTCAATCCAGATACTCCAGGTGAACCTTTCCATCTCCCCTTGCAAATGTCTATGAACAATGGTAAACCCTACCTTGGAAATGACACGTAAAGGAACCTTGCAAATGAAAAGCTTTCCAAGAGAAGGTGCTGTCCTGCAAAAAGAGTATTAATTATTCAGCATTTGAGACTTACTATAGTATTAGTAACTGAATATTCGATTATTGACAGAGTATGCCTACGGTGTGGTTATAAGCCAAAAATGAATATAAAAAAGTGCTGAACAACAGAAAGCATGATCTGGGAAGAAGCATTCGATGAAAATTCTATGTATTTTGGCAACTGTAAAAGTTAATTGGATGCAAAATTGACGGCAAATTTGGGGCAATTCAACAAATTCGTGGACATAAAAATAGTTAAATTAAAAATGTGTATTTCGGTTTATTTGGACAGTGAATTTCAGTTTTTGTATTGAATTAGAAGAAAAGTAGTTAAAGCGGTTATTTGAAGAACATACCTCACCTGAGTTTGATTTGAGAGTTGAGAGTGAAATATCCAAAGGCAATAAAGAGAGAGGGTCATATCATCATATGATTTATCTTGATGAATGGAATGTGAGATATGCTGGCCCAATGATCTTGTCCTGTCTTATTCTGATACCTTTTCTCCAGGGCAGAACACTTGGAGATGCTCAGATAAGAAAGAGATGGCGGCAGACCCTCTTCTGGCAGGAATTGGAGACTCGGACAGTCATAAATATATAGCTTTTGAAGAGAAGTGAGGTGTTGAAGTGCCTTTTCTGGCAGGAATTGGAGATTTGGACAGTCATTAATATATAGCTGTTGAAGAGAAGTGAGGTGTTGAAGTGTCTCTCCTGGCAGGAATTCCAGACTTTTACACCTAATAGTAGATATTCGAAGAACAGTAAGGTGTGCAAGTCCCTTTCCATCCAAAGATTTCAGAGTTGAAAGTTCCTCGATCCAGAGAGTGCGAAGAGTGGTAGGGAGCAGCTGTTGCTTGAGCAACGTCTCCAAGATTTCATCACTTCCCCTGCCACCAATTTTAAATTCTTCAAGGGAGACGAGTGCTTGCAAACCCCAGTTACAGTAGTCTCCCACTGATGAAGATGAAGCCCTCAGTCTCTCACAATTCTGAATGCTAAAATATCGGAGGTTGGGAGGCAAACCCCCATCTTCTGCAATTGACTCCAGATTTGGAAGATGGCGTATATGCAAACTTCCAAGGGCTGTGAGGGTGTGAATGCGTTTAGGTAATGACTTCAACTTCTTACACTCATCAACTTGCAGACAAGTCAGGTTAGGAGTGGGCAATCCTCCCTGGGGAAAACACACCAGATTTCGACAACCAGAGACCCACATTCTATTTAGATGACTGAGAACCGCTCCTTCTTCAATCAAGCAAAGCGATTCCAGATTGTCACAATAACCAATTTGAAGTGTCGTCAATTTGGGAAAAATGCCCAAGGGGAAGGACCTCATTGAATCACAGCTATAATGTATAGCCAAATAGTCGAGCGATGTTAATTTGGCCAACATCTCTTGAGGTGGGAATTCTAACATCCTACAACTGACTATTGTAAGTGATGTCAACGAAGTGGGTAGGCCATCTTCAGGGAACAACGACAGCGTTGGACAATTCAAGAGAGTCAAACATTGAAGACGATTGATGTTGGGCAAGCACTGTATGTCATCAAAATCTCGAATGTAAAGTTTGGACAGGACCTTTGTCTCTAGTAATGATAACAAACCTGTTTGGCATCCATTTGCTATTTGCAAATCTTCAAGAGACTTGTAGTTGAGACTAGTACTACTACTAGTAGTAGCAGTGGCCATTTGATCATGCAAAACCCCACACCTGTCCACGCTAAGCTTCTTCAAGCAAGGCAGATCACAAGGCAAGCTTCCTCTCAGCTTCAGACACTTTTCAATAATCAGCTCCTGGAGACGAGGAAAGTCTAGACCTCCATTTCCACTTGGTACCCATTCCTCCCACTCTGCCATCTCCTTAAACTCCAGCTTCTCCAGTGACTGAAATGGCTGAATTAGAGACGCTCCATTTCTGCCATAGAACTCAACACTAATTTTCTTAACAAAGTTCATCCTTTCTATATAGAGCTTTTTGAGAGCAGGTAGCCCCCCAACTGGTGGCAGCGACCAACAATATTTACAATCGCTAAGGCGCATGACTTGTATGTTAGAGAAGCATGAGTCTCCTAACCAATTCGGGAAGTTGGTTCCACTGTAGAATTGGATGGTCAGTTTCTCCAAACTAATTGAAGGTTGGAGCTTGTCAAGTACATCTCTCACTTTTTCAGAATCATCCGAGTCTTCATCGCCCCATCCGAACTTTAACTCCTTCAGATCCTTCTTATTCTTCAAATTGGCCTGCACAACATCCTTAGCATCAACTACATTTTGCAGTTTTAGAATTGAAAGTTTTCCTCGAAGATGTGGAAGCTGCCCCAATTCCCCAATGGTCGACCCAGTAGATTTCCCCACAACAAAAGCAGTCAACGTTCTCAAACTTTTTAGTCTACCCATTTTCGCTGGCATCTCTGCAATTTTAGTTCCACTCACATCAAGATGATGCAAACTATTTAATTCCCACAGGTCAACAGGCAATTTAGCAAGAGACACACAACCTCCCAGCATTAATTTATGTAAATTTATCAATTTTCTCAAGTCTGCAGGTAATTCAATGAGAGACGAACAATTTGACAATAGTAATGTCTGTAAATTGTACAAACTGCAAAGTACACCAGGTAACCTTTCAATTGCAGTACCAGAGAGATCCAAATAGCGCAAGTGAATAAGATGTTTAATAGAATTAGGTAACTCAATGACATTCCTGTAATGTGACAATGATAACACCCGTAAACATCTTAGCGGGGGCAACAAATCTTGTACAAACTTTTTACTTAGATACACTTGATAAGTATTTAAAGAGCTAGGTAGGAAGGTCCGCAAACACTTAGCCCCCTTTAATGGCTCAAATTTCAGAGCAACATCAAACCGTCCCCTAGCGTATGACAAATGGCGAACTCTTTCTACTTCATGAGATTCCCTTCCTTCCCACCTGGAACAAAATCCTTTAGACATGAACACAGCCAAGTCATTTATGAGATCATGCATAATGAAACTTGATTTCCCCGATGTTTGAAACAATGATCGGGATAACAGTTCATTAAAATATTCCTTAGCCACTTCTTCCATGTTGTCCCCATTCTCTGCTTGGGGAATTAAACCTTCCGCCATCCAAAGAAAAACAACATCTTCTACCTTGAATTCATAGTCCTTCGGCAAAATTGAACAATAAATAAAGCATCGTTTTAATTTAGCTGGAAGATAATGGTAACTCAATCCTAGAGCGGGAAGAATGTCACTTTTCTCATAAGGTAACTCCCAAATGCTGTTGTTTAGTACTCTATTCCATACCTCGGAGTCTAGCTTGGAACGTAACATACCGCCAAGTGTTTGTGCAGCTAAAGGCAACCCATTGCACTTTCGTGCAATTTTCTTGCCGATTTCTTCCAAGCTTGGATATGCACTACAGCTTACATTTCGAAACGCATGTTTTGCAAGTAATGACCAACAATCTTCATGCGACAATGGTTCCAAGGGTTGAGTAGGAACATTTTGCATGAAAGATGCTACATTTTTGTTCCGTGTTGTTATGATGACTTTACTTCCCCTTGCCCCTGTAGTAAAAGGAGTTTGGAGGCAATTCCAATCAGTATATTTCACATTCCAAAGGTCATCCAATACAAACAAAAATTTATTCCCCCTCAGTTGTTCTCTTAGTTCAACTTGAAGCAAATTGAGATCTGTCGTAGTACAAGGTTTTGAAGTGACTGACTCAAGAAGAGTTTTAGTTACCCTGATAGCATCATAGTCTTCTGAAACACAAGCCCAAGCTTTAAGTGTAAAATGTTCTTTCACCTTATCGTCATTGTAAAGCATTCGAGCAAGGGTTGTCTTGCCAACCCCACCCATTCCAACAATGGTGATGACGGACACATCATCCTTGCTTGCATCATCAGAGAACAACACTTTTGATAAATTTTCTTTGACTTCATCTCTACCATATACACAAGGTTCATGAACCAAGGAAGTTGTCGGAGTTCTTTGTGAAACCTTCCTCACAACATCTTCTCTCAGACAAAGAGCACCTTTCAGTAATACAAAGTCTTCTAGTTTCCGTAACAACTCTTGTATCTTAACATTCATGCTTTGATAAAACTTATTACGAGAGGTAGGGAGGAAGTTCCACACCTTGTTGGTTAATTTGTCGGCTGTTTGAGCTTCACCTTCGAGCTTGCATCGCAAAGCTTCATAGTTGATCTCATCCAGCAAGTCCTCAGCATCAAAGACCGCATGTTTAAGGTCGTCAAGCCACTCTCTCACAGCTGGTTTCTCAATTTGCTTCTCCTCTGCATCATCAAGCACTGCATTCAAGGTCAACAGGGTCCTCTTCAGTTTCATGAGGAGAGGTTGATCGAGTTTCTTGTGCCGAAATAAGTCGATGAAGTCGGGTGAAGCAATTCTGTCACAAATCACCTGGATGGAAGCAGAAATAAAGGCCTCTCCGATCAAAGCTCCAGCCATTTTTCTCTTCTTTTCTTTGCAAGGTTCGCAGATAGCTCAGCTAGCTCAACTTGGAAATACAGGTCAGGAAGTATGAAAGCTTTTGTGATTTAATGATACAAGCGTTGTTAGTTGGCTGTCTTGTCAGTGTTCGAGTGTTTTAGCCCTGTAATTAATTTTTAAAAATGTCTTGCTCTTGGGTGACAA